ATTATTATCACCTTTCCCTCCCTCCCCGCCTCCCTTCCTCCCTCTCTCCCTCTCTCCCTCTCGCCCTTCCACCCTCCCTCCTTCCCTCCCACCTTACCCTTCCTGCCACCTCTTGGTCCCATCCCCTTTTGCAAAAGATCCATCTCCCTGTGTCCTGTTATCTATTTTTTTATTTTGCTCTTTAATTTATTTATACTTCAGGTTTCTCACATAAGAGAAATCATACGATGTTTTCTAAGCCAGAACTCTAACCATGTCCTGTCTCAGCTTGGAAACTTTCAATAGTTCCTCACTGCTCGTGGGATAAGATTCAGACTTCAAGGATGGTGTACAAAGTGTACCATGGCCTCACACTTACTTTCTTTTCTGTGTCTTGCTATCGTTGTCTTTCTTGTTCCTCTCACTAAACACCACACTAAGTCATACTGAACATTTCCTCCAGTATACATTGTGGTTTCTTTCACTCCGAGAGCTCTGAGCCTGTTTTCTGGGGACCCCCATGTCCCTGTGTGCAGCATAAACCTCTGGCCTACTGTCTGCCACAGCATTCACTTCTACTGGTAACACTGTGTTTAAGGATGTGTTTGCTTTCTGCATCATCTTCTTTCCTCTTCTCCCTCAAGACTATTGAGTCCAAGGGTAGAGTCAGGCCTTTCTAGCTCACCCTGAGCCCACTGTGCTAATTCCATGTCTCGAGCCTCATAGGTATTAATGCACTTAAATAACCTTTCTAAATTGGAACAGCTTTAGATTTATGGAGAAGTTACAAAAATTGTACAGAGAGTTCACTTGTATTTGTACCTAGATTCCCATATTATTAACATTAATACATTTGCTCACAACTAATAGACAATTATTGATCCTTCCTGTTTACCAATCGTGTTTTATTCAGTTTTCCATAATTTTTTTAAAATTTTATTTATTTGGTACAAGGTCTTGCTATGCAGCTTGGACTCATAGTGATCCTTCTGTTTCAGCCTCTCCAGTGCTGGGATTGCAGGCATGCGCCACCACGCCTGGTTTCAGTGGCCAGCTCAGCATACCCAGGGTTCTGGGGCTGGCATGGTATGTGGTCTCAGAGATCAAACCCGGGTCCTTCAGCTTGCCAGGCAGGCGCTTAGACCGCCGAGCTATCTCTCCAGCCAGATTTCCATAGTTTTTGTCTTCCGCTCTTTTTCTGTTCCAGGATCTGATCCAGAATATCACAACACATTTAGTGCTCATGTCTCCTGATGTACATGTTTCTTGGATTTGAGAGTTCCTCAAACTTTGTTTCTTTTTGTTTTTCTTTACTTTTTAGTGATTGCAGGAGTGTTTAGAATTACTAGCTAGCTATTTTGTGGAATGCCCACCCACTGAGGTATGCCTGTTTTCTCAGGACGAAACTTGAGTTTATAGGTTTGGGAGAGGACGATCACAGAGGTAAAGCACCATCTTTCTCATATCATATCATAGTTATATGTTGTAGTGGCTTGTATCTGGGTGTCTAGAGGTATCTAGATGTCCCCAAAGTCTCATGCGTCACAGGTGGGGCTTCCCAGGGGTGGCTGGAGCTAGGGTGTGTGCTGCTGGGATCCAGGGTGTGCACATGCGGTTACTGGATGAGTCCACTGGTTGGCATAGTTCTGGGAGTGGGTGATGGGAAGGCCCTTCCTGGGGTGAGTGCTACCTACCCTAAGGTGGGTACCCAGAAGAGAACATGAGGGACTTAAAGAGGGTCACCGTGGATGCTTGCGGCTTGCTGCCCTCAAGTGTTTTGTCTTGCCTGCCATGAACTGTTTTTCCTCTGTTGCCTCTCCGCCATCCCCTGCCTTGCAGCCAGCCAGCTGCAAACTGAAACCTCCATGAAGTGTGAGCCAAATAAACCTTTTCTCCTTTATCTTGGAGCATTGGGTATTTTGTCTCAGCAACAGGAAAAGTAACTAAGACACACGCTGTCAATGTGACAGCGTGTCATTACCTGGCTAAGGTAGTGTTCATCAAATCTCTCATTTTAGCTGCCAACATCTTTTTTCTGTCTTTCCATTCTGTACTCAGGAGGTCATTACCTACATGTAAGACGTAACAACTTACGTTTGACCACCCTGAAGGCAGAGTATTTCACCATCCTAAAGGAAGAGTATTTTTGGATATGTTAATTTTCTTTTTGGCAGAACCGTGGATTGAACTCAGGCCCTTGTGCTTGCCAGGGAAGCACTTATTCCACTGAGCCATCTCCCCAGCCCCACTGCATGTGAGATTTATATTCTTACTTATTTGGTACAGGGTCTGGCTACACAGTTCAAACTTATGGTGATTGTCCTGTCTCAGCCTCCCATTTCTGGAATTACAGGTACACACCACCATGCCCTATTTCAGTGGCCAGCACGGCACGGGGTAGGCATGGCATGTGGTACTGGGGACCAAACCTGGTTCTTGTGCTGGCCAGGCTGGCACTTAGACCACTGAGCTGTCTCTCCAGCCCTATATTCTTATTTATTTAATTATTCATCTCTTCATTTATATCAGTATAGAGCCATGAGTATTTATTATACTCAGGGCTATATTCCAGTACTATTTTATTCTTGTTGCTCAGATTGTTTATTGTGGTTTGTCCCAGATGTCCCCTCAAAGCCTCATGAGGGTGGTTTTGGAGGTGGCTGAATCTAGAGCTTATGATTGGTTCGTGGTCCAGTGCTGGGATTGGTCGGTGAGTGCTACTCCCACCCAGGGCGGGGGGCCTTCACACAGTATAAGGAAGGAGCAGAGCCCTGCTTCTCCCCTTTTGCTCTTGTTGCTTTTGCTGCCTGCTGCCACCATGACCTGTTGTCCCACGCCATGCCACCCTGCCTTGGAGCCAGCTGATTATGGACTGAAAGCGCCATCCATTGTAAGCTGTATAAACCTCACCTTCCCTGACTTTGGACCTTGAGTATTTTGTCTCAGCAAGGAGAGAAAAGGAACCAAGGCGATGTTCTAGCTTTGGCCGTGGGAAACCCTTTCAGTTGACTGCTGTGTTCATGGTCTTGAGCACACCCTGCCTTTCTGCCACCTGCAGATGCTTCAGGTTCATTTTGCTCTATCTTAGCTCTAGATCAACCCATGGATTCCTGACTTCCTTTATTGTTGAGTATGTTAGAAACCAAGATTGGAGAGCTATTCAGACACTATCAAATTAAAATGTGGATCCATATTAAAAGCCTCAAAAGTATGGAGAATGATACATGTTCCCCTCATGCAAAATGAACACAATTTTTTCTTTGTCTTGCTCCATGTGTATTTTAAGGAAAAAACCCTCAAATGTTTAGGGCCATTTCCCCCCTCTTATTTCCCTCTCTTTGCAAGAGCAGCCAAGTACATACAGTCTTAAGTTGATGTGTTACTTTCTTTCCAAGCAAGCATGGGATACTTGCAGACAGATACTCATTGACTGGCTTTCATTTGGGCTGTGTCTTCCACTTCTGATCGGTTCTGCTGGGTGGTTGTGTGTCTGAATTCCGCCATCATCCACGCACTCATCTTCTCACGCTGTTCTTGTTCTTGAACCTCGTGTTTCATGGCCTCTGCTCTCAGGAGGGAACATCTCTCACCGACTTCCTCCATCCACGCCCTTCTCTAGTCTGTCTCCTCTTATCCCAGCCTGCTGCTGTATGAGCTGTCCTGGTGTTCACCTCATCAGAACTCTGATACGGGTTTTATGAGAGCAAATTATAAACTGAAAGGTGCTGCTCAAGTGTAAAATCTCACTTTTCTCTTCACAGTGCTGCTTCCAAAATAAAGGAATCCAGAGCACCATGTATTTGTTTGGAGTGCCTGGGTCTTTAACACTATTTTTATTAACGTGTTAATTGTACTTATTAATAGGGTTCAATGTGATGTTTTTGTACATGCATATAGTGTGTGCTCTATTTTAGCATAATGATATCATTGCTTGTTTCTAGTCCTTTTTAATAAAAAAAATTTTATTAGTACATGATATTTACACTCCTTGTGTGCAGTTGCACTTGTAGATAATGCATCTTAATTTCTTCCTCCATGCCCTTCCCCCTCCCTTCCCCTCTTTCCATCACTTGCTGTCCTTCCCCTTTGAGAAAGATCTACGCCTTTCCTCCTATTATGTCTTGTCTTCTGCTCTTTATTTATACTTTGGCTTTCTCCTGTCAGCAGATCGTGTGATGGTTAAGCCTACGTTTCTGATTTATTTCGTCTACATTTTGGTGTCAGGATGCATCAGTTGTCCCGCAGCTGCCCCACGTTGACCCCTCTTTATGGCAGCGTAGCACCTGGGCCTCGGCATCACATTTTCTTCATCTGTTCATCTGTTGATAGACATGCAGGCTGTTTCCAAGATTCAGCTCTTAGGACTGTGCTGCTGGGAGCCTGGCTGTGCCTGGATCCATGTGACACAATGACTTTCACTCTTGCAGGAGTGAAATGGGGTGAAACAAGATGTCTGTTTCTAATTTTTTGAGGATTCTCTACTAATTTCCAAATGGTGGTACTTAGTTTACATTTCCACCAACAAGATAGAAACGTTCATTTTTCTGCACAGCCTTTCCAGCATTTGTTACTACTTGATTTCATGGTATTGGCTGTGCTTTCTGGAGGAAGATGGAATCTCAGTGTTGTTTTAATTTGGCATTTTTCTAATGGCTAGAGATGTGGAACAGGTTTCTAGTGAAGGTTAAGGCCACCAAGTTTAACACTCCTGGATGTCTGTACTCTCCACTTTTATTTTTCTTATAAATACTGTACAGTAATGATACCCAAAATAGAAAAAAAGTTTACCGCTGGAGCTCATGAACTAGTACTTTTTCCACCCAGTGACTTAAAGTGGCAGGCGAATGGCATGATTATAAAATGAAAGGCCGTCGCTGTCACCTCCACCAGACAACTGCCCTGTTCCATTGATGGTGATTTGGGTGTGCAGCCAGTTGTCTGCTTGCCTCAGGAAGGAGAACTGTTTGGTTTGGGATGTCCACTCGCCTTTTTAGTAAATAGAGCTAATTTTTTTCCCACAGGTTCCACTTCCTTTGACGAAGGCAAGTTTAAAATCAATTACTTCAGGACAATTTGCATAACATCTGAAATCAACAACACACAATGAAGCACTTCCTGAGGTAAGTTATTGTGGGTTCCTAGATAAGCGCTCTAGAGTTCAGAAACTGCCTTGCCCATTAGGGCAATATTTCTCAGCATATTTTGCGATCCTGTGATCAGGCCTGCTCTTCTACATTTTGCTCCAGAATAATTTGGTCATAAAGTTCCTCCTCTAACTCTTTAATAAGCACACTGCTGTGGAGAGAGAGGAGAACGGGGGCACACAAAGCATGCACACTTTGGCAGCCTTGGGGACAGGTATCTCTACAGGCCTGAACAGTGAGGTTGAAGGAGTCTACAGTCGAGAAGTCAATCAATACAATTTGTATAAAATTTATTTTCCTCATGTAATTTTAAATACCCCTTAATTTAGATTTTGTTGGCTAATGTATGCAAAATCTAAAAACTGGTCTTTTTTGGTCACATATATGTCCTAAGCTTCTGTCCTGGCTGCATAGCTGTTTTTCGGATTTGTATTTATTATCTGTTTCTTGAAGATGGGCCTCTCCAGAATATGCCCAGGTTGTGCATGACCTTACTTTGTTTTGAAAGCCTTTTGGCCGAGCCCATGATTACAATCAGTTTCACTCTTGTATAGTGACATCCCCAGAGAAATTTTACTTCACATTAAAATACAACCAAATAAACAAAGTGTGAGTGTTTGAAAATTCAAGTCATTTTCCCAAAGATTGGGTTTCTTTTCCTCAAGACAGTACCGTGCCTCTACTACACGTGCTTGTTGTTGCTCTGGCTTTTTTTCCTAAGCAGATGATTAATGGACTTGATTTTCCTAGGAAATGATTCGATTTATTTTCAGTGCCTGCATTTTAAAGTTTTCTTTTCCCCACTGGTATTGGTCCCATTATTATTTCTAGAGGCATTGCTAGGGCTGTGTAAGCTTCATTATGCTTTGTTTTAGTGTTTAGTAGATTTTAGAAGTAAAAAAACCTGTTAGGAGGTCACTATTACATTACTTCTAGGCTTTGAAATTTATAGAAGAAAACAAAGCTGAAATAAACAGGCTATGTTAAAAAAAAATGGTATTTGAAATATCACTAAGACATTTGCCAGCCAAGTACTTAACCTGATGTTTTTGGTTGCCATGGTAATTATCCCATCTGTTTATACATTCATGAAAAATTTGGCACTGTGAATGCAACTTGACTGTAACCTTGGTCTTTTGGCTGCAGAATGTGTTAACATAAAGCTTTAGTATTAAATGACACTTGCCAGCCAAGCTCATCCCTCTGTAAAAGGGGGGACAATGATGTTGAGTTTTGTACTGCTAAATTCCTCAGTGTCTCATCAGTTTTAAAAAAAAAAAACTGAGGTGGATTCAAAGCCAGCCATTTTAGGAAAAATTGTACCTTTTCCATTTGTTATTTATTTTTGTTAATTGAGAAGGTATGAGAGTGTTTAGTAGAGTATATTGTATTTTATTATCAATTTTGTGATGATTTAAAATGGGAATACTGAAAATCTACCACAGTAATTTTGTACAGATTGATACTAAGGATAATGGAACCAGCACATCAGCTTCGTATTCTAATTTTTCTCTTTTCGCTTGGCCATGTATTTTATATAAATATTATTTGACATTGATTATTTACATGAGGCTAAAGCTACAATAACTGATTATACATCAAGAAGAAAGTATGACGGTCTTCATTGACCGTTGGTTTTCCAATAACAAGAGGAAACTCAGTCATCACCCATTTTTACTTGACTGTTGCTTTTGGCTTTTGTTTCTAATGCTTTATTATTAAATTACCATATATGAATATTCATATATATATATAATGTTTATGGAACTTGGAAGGGAAAAAGGGCAGGAAGTAGTAATACTATTTTACAAACTCTGTCAGATTTAGATTGTCTTTATTCCCTGTAGTCCATTCCCACAGATGTTGGAGAATTGTAGCAATCATTTCAACCACAAAGAAGGTCATATAAGCATAGCTTGAATAAATCAGGTGTTAATTCCTAAGCTTAGCAAATATATTATGAAGAATAAGGAGATGATTTTTTTCAGTGAAGAATTCAACATTATTTAAAAGCCCACAGAGAGACTGATCTGTCGACTTCTGAGATGTTCTAGAATGAAATGCTCCATTCCTGACCCCAAGAGAGTTTAGATTGATCCTAAAGAAACCAGATTATTGGGAAAGAAATGAATTTTGAGTTACATTTTAAGATACATGTTACCTTAGTCCATTTTTTGTTGTTATAGTGAAATAGCTCAGATCAAGTAATGTACAAATGCAAATTTATTGAGCTTGGGTCTGGAGCTTATAAGGTCTGAGTTCTAGGGTCTATATCTGCTAAAGGCTTCTTGCTGTTAGAGATGCTACAGAGTCCCATATAGTTCAGGGCATCATGTTGTGATCACTAAACTGGCTTTTATAGCACATCTATTCTCAAAATAACTCTTTACTCTGTGAATGATTAATCTACCCACAAGAGCAGAGAATGCATAACCCAACCGCTCCTCAAGGTTCCACCTGGACCTGCCTTTTATGACCTAACAGGGTGAAATTGCTCCAGCTCACTGCTGCCATCAGATCCACTAATGGTACGACTATTCAGGTTGTAAAGGGGTGAAGAAAATATTGATACATGTTAAAATAATTATGTGAGATATAAGAAATAAATGCTACAGGATTAGTACACCCAGGGTATTTTCAATTGAGTGTAGGTGTGAGACATTTGCTAAGTATCCTTTTTCCACCCAATATGACTCTAGCCATGATCTGCATAAAAAGAAAATGGGATAAAATAGACAAGAAAATATGCTTATGTGTGACCACAAAAGGGGGTGCTTTATCAGGCCCACACAAAACAAAATCTTAGGCTGAATTTTCTAATATATTTTATTAACTTTAATTCAATTGATGCATATTATACATGAGAACCCAAGACTTGTACTGAATGAAGACTTTCTCCCTTGGTAAGACTTGGGTGTTTTAACATTATATTTTTAAAAGTTATCATAACATTGATTTTAGGGGCTGGGGAGATGGCTCAATGGAATAAACGCTTCCCTGGCAAGTGCAAGAACCTGAGTTCAATCCCCAGTTCCGCAAAAAACAACAAAAAAAACCACACACACACACACACACACACACACACACACACACACCCCACACCCCATTATTGATTTTGGAAAATTCTAATAAAGGGAATTTTAAACTTGCTCCACATTAATGGCTGGGTGCTATCGACTGTCGCTGCCTCGGAAGCTCAGGCTCTATGCCGTGGGCCTCATGGAGTGTTTTCTTCCTCAGGCAGAAGTGAGGAGAGGAAAATATCTGTCAGGCTCCAGCCTTTTCAGAACTGTGGCTTTGACTCAATTGAGAGAGAAACAAAGTATTTTACTATCATGATTAGGTATAGAAAGATTTACCATTTGTAATAATAACTATAGATTGGATTTTGTAAGTCCTTTATACTTGACTAATATCTATATGCAAAGATTCAGTCAGTAAGCATTTGCTGCTAAAAATGCCAATATTATACCACTTTTATTTTCTCTTTGTAGCAATTATAATGAAGGAGAACTTAATTGCCCATTTTGCAGAGGAAAACAAGGAAGCTTAGCGAAGTTAGATAACTTGCTTGAAGGCACACTGATATTTAAATGCAGCCCTGTCTTGTAATTTCTGCACCATGTCACCCTCTCACAGTATGGCCCCTGCCAGTCTTTGTGGATGATTTGGAAAAGAATGTGAGCTTTCTCCGCTCTAAAAAGTAGGCCATTAATATGGCTTTACTTGCTGGGCTGTAAAAGGCTCAAGTCAACAACTTCTGACATTGCCAGTCCTATGGATAACCCTCTGCTATTATGGCCTACTGGACTAGATTGGATTATTTTGCTGAATTCACACACCTACAATATTTAAATGGCAATGGAATACCCATCTCTGACAAAACTAAACAAAAAAAGGGGATACAAATTAAGGACTTTTTTGTATCTGTATATACAAAATAGGATAGATATACAGCTACTTTCTCTTAATTCAATGAGAAGAAAGATTTGTACTAATAGTGTTTGGACAGGATATCATGTCTGCATCTTGTACTATGAATAACCACTATGAAGACAATGATGTGCAATGTATTAATTATTGAAACTGTCCTACTGATTGGTTTTGAAACGGTCCCATTGCTATTTGCTTCTCAGTAAAATTAATAAAAAATAAAACAAAAAAATAAAATAAAAAGCAGGCCACCTGGCAAGGAGATGGGACAAGGAATGAGATCAGAAATGGGCTCCATGGGCTCTGTGATGGAATCTTCATGGAAAGCTTTATTAATATGATATTTAGGGAAAGAGTAGGCTAAAACTGTGGCTGTTGTGCAGTGCTGGGGATCAAGCCCACGGCCTCCCACACAGTCACCATGTGCTCTACCACTGGCCTCAGCCCCTTAGGCCTTTAATATTTTTAAGTAAGTACACAGATTGTGGGAGGTGGAGATGGTGGTGTGCACAAAGCAGAGTATGGCCAATGACTCCGCACAAGGAGTCTGAGTTTCCTGGGTGCAGACCAGGTTTTGGGTGTAAAAATAAATTACAGAGATCAAGCTGTAGGTAGTACTGGGTTATTTTACAAGCACAGCATGGACCAGCCCAGAAACTTGGTAACATTTGTACCTCTGTTCAAAGCAAACCACAAATGGAACAGGGAGTCAATTTTTTTCTTTCCCTGTAACTTCTAGTTTTACTTAGAGCCAGAAATCTACTCAAATCCTGTCCCTATGAATGTTAAAGCAGAGGCCTAGAGGGGCAAAGTGACTTGCCCAAAGTCACGTGGCTCACAGGAGCAAACTGGGAAGAGATCCAAGGTTGGTGATTTCTAGGCTGTGTAATCCGACCTTCCATACAGCACTCACCAAGTTCCACTGCCCTGGAGGGCAGTAAGAGAGGGATTGGTAGGTGCTCCAGAACTTGATTAGCTTTGCTTGACTGAGATTGAGATGTACAAGTCCTAAAAGTGGGAAGGATTGTGGCTTTTGCCCCCAC